CTACGGCTTCCACTGATTACATTTTTTTGCGGATTTTTTGTCAAAGCACTTCAGATATTCATTGCTATCGGGATGTTAAGAGCATTCCATGGAATATAACACAAAGTGTATCTCGAGCAAGTTTTATGTTTTCGTAGTCTGCACCTGTTGGTTTTTATTTTTGGTTTGTCAGTCATCTGTCCATTTGAACGTCACTAACCGGTGCTTTACAGATAACATCTTCTGATTTGTTTCCCTTTTGAGATATCCACCTGATTTGTCATCATCTGTAGATTAGCTGTGGGATGTCTTGTTGCAGAGAAAGAGGACTGCGTATGTCATGGCTTACATTGCAAGCACATTACAAAAAGGTTGTATTCAAGGTCAGAATAAACGGAANAAAGTCAATCCTAATGAAATGTTCATTTGAGCACCTGACTTTTGTTGTAAGACAGGCCTGCAAAAGAAATTGCACCCATCTTGAGAGGTCAGTTTAAAGAAAGTGTGTGTGTGTGTGTGTGTGTGTGTGTGTGTGTGTGTGTGTGTGTGTGTGTGTGTGTGTGTGTGTGTGTGTGTGTGTGTACCTGTTTGATTGAGAGGGTCTGATACTTCTCGAAGGCCTCCTGAGGCAGCGAGCCGAGCTCTCGGATCTTCTTCATGCACTCCTCTTTCTTCTTGAGCAGCATGCCCTGCCTGTTGGTCATCTTCTCCAGCTCCTTGGTGTCGCTGTTGATGGCGTCATTCTGATCCTTCTCGATGTTCTTCCAGCGCTCCATGCTCTTTATGTGGTCCTTGATCTCGACCTCGATCTTGTCGACCAGAAGATCAAGATCTGGGGAAGAGACATTGGATGAGGCAGTGCAACAGAAGTGATTGGTTTTATTACAAATGAGGCATTAGTGCAGAAACAGTTTTTTCTTAAAAAGTCAACTGAATGGAACTTTAACAAAACAGACTGTGAAGGAACGAAAAAGCCGGAGTTCCATTTTTAATTCAGCAGCCAAGATAACTCAATTCAAATGTATATTGTTAATCAAAAACTTACTAATGTGGATGCTAACTTTCTTAAAAGAGACAAAAGAAAAGCAAACTGCTCACGGAATCATAAATGGAAAATTGAACAAAGGCTTGAAAATAAAGCCTACTTAAGAAGAGGTCGTGCTGTGAATATGTATTTAATTGGTTATTAACAGTAATGAAACATGATTTCATGCAAATTAATTCTAGTCAGGATCACTGCCTTCCATCAACCTCATCTGAGTCACAGCACCAGCAGAGCATTTATTCCATCAGCCAAGCTGTCTCTGATGCAGCTTTTTATCCACATTAGTCCATCACATCACAGCAAACCTCACCATCTGCTGTTGGTGCCATCCTATTTAAGACAGCGTCGAGTTTTTACATTTAAATTCCCCGATGACAGCTTATTTTGGGCTCAATAGAGCAACTTGGTTTCGTTTATAAAAATACACTCTTCCATATGGCTACCAAGGAATGACGAGTACTCCTTTAACAGCGCTACTTCAATCAATTACTCAATCCACAAATCATGATATCTCTCTCGCTCTTATACATTTGAATTATTCAGGAATTAGTGTGAATGACACACAATTTTTGTTTTGTTTGAGGGTACTGAGGTGAAAGTGTTTTTAATGGTTCACCTTTTTGTTTAAAGCTTGTTTCTTTAAAGAGCCTGTGACACGAACCCAACAACTGTTGTGCAATGAAATAGTGGGCTACTAGTAATCTCGAACCGTCAGTTTAAAAAAGAAAAAGCGAGACCGTTCCGATAAATATCAATAATTTCGAACATCGCGGGAAAATTCCTTCGACTCATTTTGAGGTTTTGGGGGAAGCCGGAAGTGACGTCAATGCGGGAACGCTTCACTGTGCGGCGAGAGAGCCAAACACGGACAAAGTGTGTTGTCATGCGTAGAAATGGTGAATTACTGAGTTTTTCTACGTTTTTTTTTACCACAATGTTGGGGAAATTAATGGATAAAATGCACGGATTATTATTATTATTATTCCCACTCCGATCGGGACACTAGGTCCACCGTTTCCCCGCAGCGAGGCTCCCCCCGTTGACAGTTTACGTGGGCTGGGCTGGGTGCAGTGGCGGACTGGCCATCGGGACGAATCCCGATGGGCCGGTACCGAAGTGGGCCGGTCGGATAAGTCACTAGCACATCCCCCACTCCCCCCGTTCCCCCCGTTGATCCCCCACTCCCCCCCGTTGACAAAAAACAGATACAACATAAACCGATCCTTCAGCCTCATATGAGCTCTCAGACACGTTCAAAATTAAACTGTCATCGCTGTCATCGCTTTCTGCTGTGTGCGCCATCTTGCGTTTTACATGCAGATGCTGGGATCCTGAACGGTGCAGCTGGAGCGCTGTGCCCGTAATGACGTCACACATAATTTGGCAGGAC